AATGTTTTGAGCTCTTTTGTGTTTAGAACAATATATACTAATTTTTTTTGAATTTTTGTTCAATAAAAATCTTTCAAATGCGACTGTAGCTTTTTTTCCCCAAACACCTAGTCTTCAAAATAAGGGTAAGTCCTATATTCCGAAAAATACGGTAGTTAATTAAACCTTGCATGTAATTATGTATGAAGTTTGTGAAATGTGCACTTTGACCCACCTATATCCAGAGAATTGACAATAACAAATATGAAAGTAACTGCTGAATGAATACCTTCAATTAAAATTTGTTCATTATCTTCAATCCCTAATGCTTCTAAAGTCAAGTTTTCTTCTTCCAACAAAATCAGATTGTTCTGTAAATATAAATCATTTGATTAATATTACAATAACGGAACAGACAAAAATTTTAAAATACAAGATAAAACAGAATTATTTAAAACTACCTTAACATGTAGGATACTACTGTTCATTTTAAAAGATTACATACAACATGACATTTAAAAGTTCTGGAGTTTACCTTCTTACTTAACAGACATACAAGCTAAATTTAAACACACGAGACTACTATGAGATATCTTTAATAATACATTTATAATTCCACCTTTTATCATCAATGAATACTTTCACACAGGCTGCATTTTATTCACTTCCCAGAATTACCTAAGGCTGCACAAACACGAATAAAACAGTATTGGCGTCAAATTGCCAAGCTCACTACGTGTTATGTACTATTTTTTTTAAAGGAATTAAATTTAAGATAAAAAATTATTTAATCATTTATAAGAAATTTGAAGAATTTATTAACAAATCTTTTTGAAAAAGGTTTGTTTGATATATTTCATTTTTAACAGCACATCACATTTTTTTTTATTGCCCATAATAATCTGTGGATCCAAATAGGTGGCATTTGTGTCGTATCTCGGTCACTAAAGCATAATCAATCTGAGCCTATGACTGCCACCTGTCAACAAAAGTTCCTTGTGGCAGACACTATATGCAAGAACTGCTCTTACCACTGTTTATTCTGAAACCTTTACCAAAATTGTGTTTACAGCATGACTTGTGTCTTTTACATTTTTAAAGATCAAATCTGGGCAAATAAATGCTACTCTGATAAAGATTTTTTGCAACAACTATACTTCCAATAAGTTCTCAGAAAGTTTGCAAGAAAGTTGTGTAACATGCTAAAGCATGAAAATTCAAGTATTCACTGTTTGGAAAATAGATACAGGACACCCGTATGCAGTTACCACAGATTTAAATTGTTGTTTAGAGCCTTTTTGTGTTATAATTAATCA